AGAAAGAAAATAAGAAAGATACAAATATTTTCCACAGGGATACCAATATGTATTTTAGCGATTATCGTGACGTCACTTCCGTTGGACACCTCATCTCACGTGAGAACGAGGTTCTTTTCAAAGAAGTTTTTATTCTTTTCTGCTGCCATTTTCTTCATTTTGGCCAGTTTTTCGGCTTCAAAATGATGCAGCCACACGGAGAAAAAAGCCTTAACATGGAATCCAATGAACCTGACTCTAAAGTAGACATTGTAAAAGAAGTTGCTAGTGCTTTAGAAGACGAAGACGTGAGAAAAGATGAGCCTAAACCTGTTAGTAGACTTCCATCTACGACAACAAGTGCCACGACTGCCGAGCAAAAACAACCTACTACAAGCTCTCCTGTGACGATATCCAAAGGCTCTAGCCCAAGTCAACCAACGCCGAGCTCAAGCTCAAAGATTCTAGCAAGTCCTCCTCAAGAAAGAATAAGATCGGAGCCAACACCAGCTCAAAAAACACCAAGTACTGCAGCAAGTGGTGTTGGTACAGAGAACAGTTCTACAACGTGGCAGTCCACAACACAGTCTAGTGACGATGGCGGAGGGATGTGGGGATGGATGTCAAGTGCTGTCACTGCTGGCTTACAAACTACACAGAATATTGGCAGAAATATCGTAGAGAAAACGAAGGTTGGTAAAGAATGTATTTGTAAAACCTTCAAGAGTGTGAATGCTTACGTTCTTTATCAGTCAGCTGATTAATTAAATGCCAAAAAATAATTTAATTACTCGAAAAACCATTATACTTTTGTATTTGAAAAAACTGCGATTCATGCAACTCTCCTTGCTTGGTATTTTAGTTTATTGAAGTTGTTTTTTTAACAATGAAGTGACATCCCCTCTGTAACTAGCTGAGTCAAATGATGAAACAGCATAACTACTAATATTCATGAATATTTATTGAAATAATTCAATCACCAAAAACTGGTCTTACATTGTTAAACCTTTATTACATTCTACCACCATTTCATTGAATTGTTTTTACAAATTGGATGGTTATTTTTACTTCTAAATTCATATCAAATACATTTTTTATTCTGTCAGCCTATGCAGGAAGTAGAACCTAAATGATTCGTAGAGAGGAATTGAAAATTAAAAAGAAAAAATAAAACAGATGTAAAATTTTCTTTCATTGCAGTCCTCTGTAGATACAGTGATAACGACATTAGACCCAGCGATGGAAGACTATTTACGTAAGTGGAGATTTAAGTTCATACTTTCTGAGCGAAGAAAACTGATAATGAGTAGGACGTGTGCTGAATCATGAGGCAGTTTTAGAGATGCCATTTGCCTTTTTCATTTAACTGGTTTTGTTTCTTGAATCAAGTCCCATTTATTTTGGTTTTTGGTCTGTCTTATGAGAGAGTTTGCTAAGCCTTTCACTTTGTTGAGAAAACGGCTGTCTACTAAAACAGCTCGGCAATGAATCAGCACGCTGCTCATTACCAGTTTTTCACACAACATCAGAATAATAGTGATAACAATAATAAGACTTATTAACTTGATTAGAGCAGGTAAAAATTTGTTTTCACTTTTACAGATAACAGAAGTCAAGGAGTCAATCTTGTTCTAACAACAGAACACATGCCAACCATTGAAGCAATTAAGGATGGATTTCGACAGATTTTTGAGTTGGCATTTTTCAAAGGCTTATCCTCAGCATCCAGCATTGCACCTCTACCAACTGGTTGCTCTGCTGGCCTCAAAGGAGCTCAGCACAGAGTATCTCATCTTCGGAGAACCAAGAAAGTAAAAGAAGATGAGATAGTCATTGGTGTTGAAGAACTTGTTGCTGAATTGATACCTGGAAAGTGAGTGGAATAAATAAACTATTTTCGCCAATTAACACTCATCACAATAATTGTCATTTAAAAACGTTTCTTATGAAAATTGATCAATTTTAAATATTTTTTTCCTTTTCAGGTGGTTCAGCATGTTTTGTTTGTATCTGAATGACCCAAACCTCAAGATTGATCTTCAGACATTTTCACAAGCTCTTGAAGTCCCAAAGGAATACATATCCAAAGCAGAACAAAGCACACCTTCAAATTACAATCTACGCTGGTCAGGACTCTCTTACACTCTAGGTGAGGTCGTTTTAGGGACTGGTAACTCACAAGGAGATTGGCAGACAAAAGTAGGAGGTGGGTATTTATATGAGCAACAATGACTGTCGCAAGACAAAAGAAATGCGGCTTATTCACCTATTGGGCACTCTTAGTCCCAACGGGATTAATGAACACTTTGCCTTTAACTAACCCTTTCTTTTGTCTTTTGATTGTTTGTTTTTGTTTCCTTGCCTGCCTTGTTCTCATTGGTTTCTTTTGTCTTATTCTATCATATAAACACTCCTTTCTACCACCTCTTTCTCTTTTACTCCGACGAAGGACTAGCGTCCGATACGTCATTATTGAGCATGGGTTAACTAAATGAAGCACAAAATGATGGTCCTTGCTACTATGATTAATGCCTGACTGTTAAGTGGTATTCATGTGGTTAATTTCAGTCGCTGTACCTACAATCATCTCTCATTCTTGAATCCCTGTCATGTTGGTAGCTTTTTCTCTTTGTACTTCAGCTTTCCTCCCCTTGCAAAAACAATTCCAAATCTGACTATAGAACAAGGGGTCTCCCACCCAAAGGCTATTGACGCCCTTCATAAACAAGGACAATTTTTTTGTGTTCCAAATTTTGAACAAATTAGATTAAAACCTTATTACATATAATTTTTTTCTTCAGGTTGTTCAAGAAAGCAAATACTCACAATGGCATCCAAGAATTTAGCAGGGCAATATAAAACCAAATGTAATGAAAAAATAGAATCAGTTATGGACAAGGCTGTTGTCCTGTAGAATAATAATCATATAATCTTAGCAAGAACTCTTTTTAAAAGTATTTTCTCCAGAGGCACGGATTATAGCGGAAATTAGCTGCTACGATGTCAGAAATAGGTTAATCACTTTTATGAAAGATGTTGATTAATCAAACAGCTGATATTTGGAAAGAAAAAAATTGCTTAGGTGGACATTACATATAAAATAAAGGAAGTATATATATTTATAGAGTATGGTCAAAAAAATCTATGCTATCATTACTATCTGCATTTCAACCTTTGCACAAGGTAGAGTAGTGACTTCCATGGGGTATAGCTTCTATAAAGTGAAAATGTAAATATAGTGTAGTTATAAGCAAGTTGAATTTCAGTAGGTCATTTCAAAAATGTCAAGAGAAGGGGTAATAAATATTTTACTTATGACCAGACACCTCTATTTTAACGCGGTAGCCATTTTAGTTACAAAATGTCACTGTTATCAATAGGAGCCCTAATAAATATAACAGTGCAAAATGTAAAAGTGTGACATACTTTTATGCACATGCTTTCTTGGGATAAACCAACACATTTTGATGCAAAGCTGGCTGGTTTTTCCACATAAGGCAGCAAAAAGCCTTGACATAGAAGAATGAGGATACATTAAATGTGGTTGTAATTTTGTGCGTCACACGTAAGCAGTATGATCTCTAATAATTATTATATTGTAAGAAAAGTGAAACCATGGGATTTAACAGCTGTTATTCATTCCAAAACAATGCAATACAATTATTTTATTGGGTAATAAAGATTTATACTCCAAGATATCAGGACTGATTGATCATTAAGAGTAAATGGTGATGCAAAGGGTCTGCACACTTTACAACAAAAATCATTGATTATTATTGCAGATGCCTTGTTTTTAAAATCATCCGAAATGAAACTGAAAATAAAATTGCTTGGTTAAAAGGATGTTGTTGGTAAAATATTATTTCCCTAGTCTTTAGTCAAAGCATGAACTTAACTTTAAATGCTTTTTGAAAAATGACACCGCGCATGCGCAAAGCAGACGCGTTAAATCGCGTTTTTGGCACCACTAACGCGATCGGCTTTTAATTTAAGGCACGACTTTCTAATTGATTTCATTGCATCTAAAGTACTGTTTGGTAAAAGATGCGAAGAAATTTTTGTAGATTTAATGTTTTTGATCGCATCCCACATGTATAAACGGTCTTGTTTCCGTCTTATRGATTGAGATAGCGGTGAAAAACTTTGGTAATGGGCCTTCATGGTTCATGCGGGAAGTGATGAACTGGGTAATCGCTAGTATTAGTGAGACGTGTCACCCACCAATGTTACGCACAGACACGTGACCCTCCTGATCCCACCCATAATGCACTGCGAAAAGGAATCTTTTAACACGTGAACCAGTTTGATGTATCCGTTTTCTGGGTATTTTTTGTATTTCCCGCTATTTTTTTTTTATTGCGTTATTGAAAATATTCCATAATGCAAGAAATAACTTAAAACAAGAAAACTCAACTTTTTATCTTTATTTTTCGATTCTTGGATTTGGCTTGCTGTGCTGGAAAAAAAATTAATCAATTCATTCTGATCAAAAACAATTGGTCCTACATGATCAAAATTCTTTGGCTTTTATTGTGAACACTTTTTAATCTAGTGATAATATAGCATGCATAAATTATAAATAAATTATATATCAATAGATTATTGATAATGATTATTTGATGTCCATTAAGGTAAAAGTACGACTAACTACAAAACTATTTTCATCTAAAACAGTGTGACAAGACAAAATAAATCGGCATTTTTCTCTCATGGAAACGAGTTCTTTTACTCTTTCTGCAAAATTGTTAAATGTGCAAGGATTTGGATGCTGTTTGGTCTTTACCAGTTGCTTCGCTTCAATTCCCTTGAACAGCTTGCAGGCTGAGTCATGCTTCACGTCCACCTCAATGTCTACTCCTGAATCCTTTATCCTCACAGTACAATTCCGATAAAACCGTTCAATTCTGTAGGTATAGTCTGGTTTATGATGTACGCAGTGTTTACATTGTCCATATATCTGGTTCTTGTCTTTCGTTAACGTTCGGAAGCACAGAGCACAGCCTATGAATGTCAGACGTGGTAACCATTCGTTTAAGGCTTCCGCATCTTGAGGACTCTTAATGTTCAAAGCTTCGTTAGTATCAGAATAGAAAACGATTGTGGAAATAAATCCACTGATTTCCGCAGACCCTGAAAACTTGGCTTCAAGTAGTTCTTTGATACTTTTGAATGTTTTGACTTCGCTGAAGAAGAAGTCACCAAAGATGGAAAGTAACCTTTTTGCCTCCAGATTTTCCTCTGTCAGTTTTGATTTTGTTGATTTTGGAGTCGTGTGTAGCACCATCGATTCACTGGACGCGTCGTGCTTTGCTGTCAGGTACTGCAGCTCCCATACCGTTCCCTCTGCTGTGCGCAAATCGTTTAACCACTCAGCTTGTCTTCCCCATAAACTTACGATGATTTCTTCATCAGGAGATTCGGCAAAAACTACGGAAAAAGAAAGAAGTTAGAAGGAATTCAGTTTATCCGGTAGCAAATTTTATTTGCAATGAATCCCATCCTTTCCCTTTTATCCTTCCTTCCTTCCTCTTCCCTTATTCAGCTCAGTGAATGGCAACACTTACTAATTCTTATCTTAGGAAGCCTTTGATGTCCAAATTTGTAAGTACCATCAGTCGATTTATTTGTCATAACCTCAACCTTACGGAGAAACCCTCTAAAGTGAACCAAGGTATTATTTTTCATCTCTGAGATACGAGCGAACTTTACTTGCTGTCTGTCTACAGGAAGAGTATTCCTAAAGAGATAGCCATAGTCTTGTCCTGCTTGCTTGAGCAGCTCATTAAGTCTTTCCTGGGACACCAAGTGAAGCCAGTCGCGTGACAGAGGTTTGACTGGCTGATGAAGATTATAAAAGCACGAATGGAAAGTTGTTTGGCCGATATTTTCGTTTCTCCACGTTTCTATTCGGATTGAGGTGGCAATGATGATGTCGCAAGGAACAATTCTCTCGGTCCAACGAGAAGCTTGTCTCCACAGAGTCAACTTGAAGTGAGATTTAGATACATCTGCTACGATGATTGAAGACAACGGAATGTACTCTCCCTTGTTTCTACCTGATTTGATTTGGATTTCTCTGACTGGATTCACTTGTAGAACGATGACGCATATGTTCACTAAATCCTTCAGTTTATTACACTGCGCAAGATAAGTTAGCTTATCAAAAATGTTTGGCAATGTGCAACCATGTCTGGAAACAACAATCGTCTGGGTTTTGCTCGTATCTGGTTGCAGAGGACCTGCAGTTTCTTGAGGAGCTTCATTAGGTTCTCCAACAACTGTAGTGTCTTCGAGATTCGTAGTTTCTTTTTCGACACCTTTTGCTACCGTTTCAGACGTAGCTGGTGAAAATAATGGCGGTGATTTGTGTGTCGATAAGAAGGAAGCGTTGTTATCATCATGACCTTCACGAGTACAGACTTGAGTATAAACATCATCTTCTGTCAACTGATGCGTATTGTCATTAAGCATCAACTCGTCACTTTGGGCTCTCACTCGAGAAGAACCACGGCTGAAAGGCCAGTCTAAAATGCTATTTCTCAAGAGAAGCTGGCTCTCAAAGTTCACCGCTTCATATTCCCGTTGAAGTCTGTCAAAACTCCCTACTTTATCCTGAGTCAAAACGCTCTCAAAGCGAGTCAAACTATTACAGAAAGCAGTGGTCTGATTCGCTTGGAAAAATTCCTGGTCCAAGTATGAATTGACTGATTCCTGAACGAGTTCTGGCTCATAATCAAGAACGATTCCACCACTTGTACTAACTTCAGAGTCTGTTCTAATAGAATTCTGAATTTTTAGGTCTTTTTGGGTCGTAGCTTCATCATCATTGACAAATTTCTGACCATCAAACTTTAAGTAAGTCTTGTCACATTTCACTTCCGGTAGCTCTTCGATACAAAAACACAACCAAATCTTGCGTTAGTAATAAAAAAACAACTAATGTTAACAACAATACACAATCTCTTACCTCGCGCATCTAGTTTCGTTTTCTTTTCTGTTTGGCGAAGGCATATTTTTGGTGGGACAAAGACAAGAACCTTCACAGCATTTGCGCTACGCTTTTTATCATCCGCCATGTTTGAAAGAGCAATCAAAATGAACAGCTGATGGTTTCGTAATGAATGCGCAAAAATATTCATGCGCATATTATTGATCTGAGCCTGCGATCTTGTGTACAACAATTTTTAGAAAATTTTCGATTTTTACCAAAAAATGTCAAGTTTTTCTCATTGATTTTCTCACTTAGGTTAACGAGAATGAGTTCGAGGAAAGGAGACTGTAAAAAGAAGCCTCAGAAGTACCAGAACGCGATAGCATTTAAGAATGACTTGCACGATACGAGTAAAACGACGAAGTTGATCAACAGTACTCCAGTAGTGGGAGTCTGTACACGATGCAGAGATGCTATCGAATGGAGAAAAAAGTTCAAAAAATATAAACCTCTTAAAGCTCCAAAGAAATGGTAAGTGTATTTATTTTAAACTATTTATGTCTGGAAATGGTTCAATGGTAACAAAAAGTGATGGATTTGGGATGGAATAATTCTTAGTTTCTCTCCTCACCCGTACCCCTCCCCCATAAACCAACATCCATTTACTAAGTGTTATACTAGTAAAGAATATAGCAGAAAGGCATGGATTTGGGACGGAATTCCTTTCTCCACACCCCTACCCCCAAAGTATATCATGGCTTTTTCCCTACCCCTCCCCCCATAAGCTAGCATGTACAGTATGTTCTACTAATTCAGGAGTGGCAGAGAGGGTGGGGTAGGGGGGCTAAAACCCCCATTTCTTTTCCTTTTCACATACTAATCTCCAATATTATCACCTCCTCCACTTTTTTCCATACTACTGTAGTCTCATATATTTTCCAATCTTATCTCATTCCATTTTTTTGGCATGCGTTGAAGCCCCTGTAATTAAGAATGACATGTTTTTTTTCAGTGTAAAATGTGAACAGAAAACAATAAAACAAGCTTATCATATATATTGTACTAAATGTGCCCAACAAGGAGGATTTTGTGAAAAATGTGGAGAAGTCAAAGAAATCCTAGCACAGTGAGTAAAGAGAGTTTTTTTTGTGAGGGAAATATGGTACTTAACTACGGCATGCATGCATTGCTTTTGAGTAAATTATCCAATCACTATGTATGTAATGGTAAAAGTAAACAATAAAATCCCCCAATCAGTGTTTGTAGGAAGTTGGTAGGTTGTTGGTAGATCAGCTGATACCCTACATACACCAATTTGGAGGTTAATGTATTGTTTATAGTTTATAGTAATCAATTATGGATATGGTGATTTTTTAAAATTTTTTTAATTTTTTTTTTGGATATGGTAAAATTTGATATGTTATTGCAGTATAACTATGATATTGTTCTCTACTCATACAAAAACATCTTTATTCTTGGGGTATGAATAACACCATACTTACCATTTTTGGTTTTTATTTATTCATTTATTATGAGTAAATGTTTTGAAACCAGAAGCTGAAGTTTGGTGTGAAATGTGATCGTCCAGGTTACTGTAGTCTTGAGAAAGACTGTTGTTGGTGGTGACTGACGTTTCGACAACCTGAGCAGAAGTCATTTTCAGAGTCTAGTTATTCATTTATTTGATTCAATATTTATACAGGTAGCATCCAATTTAGCATAGCTATTTAAAATAAATCCTGATATTTAAGGTACTAACATTCTTGTCTTTATTGTCTTGTTATCCAACATGGAAGGCTTGTCTTGTCTTTTATTCTCGTGGGAAAGAATGCGAGTTGTCATTAGTTGAATATTTCTAAACAAGGGGAAACCCTTGCCACATTTTAGAAATGATTTTTTGATATTTTAAATTGGATTATGTTTGATTTATTTCCAGACCTGAGCCATCACAGCAAGAAAGGGCAGCTCAAGATAGCCAATTACAGCAAGAATTAAAGATGCTTACTGAAAGACAAAGAAGTAAATAACATTATATTACTGTCTTACTTACAGCCAATGCTTAGTACTACATGCCATTACATCAAAATGGCTTCCAAGGGGGTAAATTGAAGCCAATGCTGAAGTGGCTTCCCAACATTGAAATGGCTTACTAACTTGACATGGCTTTCCAACATTGAAATGGTTTCCCAACATTGAAATGGTTTCCCAACATTCAAATGGTTTCCCAACATTCAAATGGTTTCCCAACATTCAAATGGTTTCTCATTGTTTTTGTGTTAATGTTTTTATCATCATTTGCTGAATCAAAAGTGGTAAAGCTACACATTACTTCCAATTGGTTTCCCATTTATATAAAAGCCAGAGGACTCCCTAGTAGTAGGGGGGCTATCTGGATACCCCTTCCCCCAATAATTGTGCCACCATATTTTCAATTACTCATTTGCTATTAAAAATATTAATAGCCAATGCAAGAGATATGTCCTAAATGCATCTCAAAACATTGGAAATCGCACTTGCAAGGGTCTAAGTTTAAAACTTTTTGGGTGAGGCCTCCCCTTTAGCCCCTTAGGTGTTCCTGCCTTTGGTGGTCTCAGTTTTAATGTTTCTAGTCATTTCCACATCCACAAATCCTGTGTTTTATTGCTTAACGGTGAAGGTTTTTAAGACTGACAGTTCTTTTTTCTTCAAGGAACATTTTTCCGGCACATAGAAAAAGGGGAACCCCAAGATTTAACAGCCATTGGTGGAAGTCTTGGCTCATATGAAGACGAATATGACAGTGAGGATGAACATGATTGTCTTGACGACCTAACAGACCTTGGACAAGCAGGATTGAAAGAGAATGTTGATTCTTGACATAAGAAAATTACACTATAAAATGGTTCTCCTTTAAGGCCGGTTTAGAAGGTCAATTTTTGCCTACAACTATTGTATACAACACTCTCGCATGTGTCGTAGGTGAGTTGTAGGCTTGATTTACACGCTACGACTCGAGTTGTAGGATAGCGCGATAATCGTACCGTCTAAACCGGCCTTTAGTGTTTTACATACTTAAATACTTTACTAAGTATTCCCCACAGTGCTTTACTATACTAATTTACAATATTATTCTATTAAAGATACAAAGCTAATTTTTAACTTCAATAAAATGCACTACTAAATAACTAAGTCCTAAGTTTATCACTGTTATATCAGCTTCATTTTTAATCAAAAATGAAATAAAAATGACCCATTTTCACACTTTTTGCAAAACTATGAATATTATTTATGACAATTGAAAAATGAGTCATTTTGGGGCATTTTCGGCCATAAAGCATGGACTATAGCCCATGGTTTTGATGAAA